GTAATTTTATTACAGTCGAAACGGAGCACTTGAATTTTGATAGAGAGCGCTGGGCTAGCGAAGCTGAGCGAATTTCGTGTGCGTTCTCTATGATACTTCTACTACATTTTGTATTTTCTAAGTTTTCTTTATTTCGGCCACCAGCGCAGCAAGTAATTGATCGAGAGCGACTAGACTTTGGGAAAGAAAAGTGAAAGGAGGAGCGAATTGATCGTCAACTTGAGGTGGGAAACAGCAGCGTTTTCACTCGCTCATCGAAAAGGGACGCACAACAGAAGAAGCAAAAACATTTTTAGATCTTCTGGGATGTACAGCTGTGTTTACTAGTACAGGTATCTGCAACACCTACATGCATTCGTACATAGCAAAACGGTGCATCTGCATAATTAATTTTACTTTTCCCGAATAGAACTTTCAGTCTCCCCTTCAATCGAATCAATAATGTCATCATCTTCAACGGCGTCTAATACCATGCACTTCCATTCGTCACCCAGTTTTGGAAGCATGTTGTGCAGTGTACAACACCCCAGTACCGACTCAACGAAGAAGTCCATTTCAGATTTTGATCGTAGCTGGTTGCATATCTCTCTTAGGGAATCCTACCTTGACTTCAATATACCAATAGTATGCAGGTTTCTGACACGAGACTTAGTGAGGTAGAAAATAAACTCGGTGTTGTCATAGTTGTCTACTAGTGGGCGCTTGTACGCTGCCACTACTGTACTGTACTTCTCCAATCCGAAATCCACCACCTTCGGAGAGAGCGTGAAGATTCAAGACTTCATATGAACTAATAAATTTAGCTTTGTGAGCTTAGCGACTACCACCAATTAATCCATGCACATACAAAGGTAGCGGTAGCGAAGGTATTGCAGCGCCTTCTTGTCGAGATGCCCAAGCAGCTGGGCCCCGCATGATATTTCAAACGCGAGTAGAACGTAGACGCCACAGTTGTAGCTGTCCACTTGGACTCCTAGGCCAGGCTCGTACGTTTGCACTCGTGGTCTCGGTCTCGCGTCGTTTGGGAGCAGCGAAATCAGCACCTGGGCGACGGAACAAACACTGATCAAGTAGGATGACGAGCTGGAATTGTAGATCGCCACCTTGCCCTCGTCGAGGTTCATCATGACTGCCCCCCCCCCCCCCCCCAATGATTCCCGTTGCAGTTCATAGGAAAAAGCACAGTTTCTTTCGTTAGATCCGATTGTTTGCTGCGGAGATCTTCTTTATCCACATGCCCACCAACGACAGCACCTATTATATGGGCAGAAAATGAAGGGGCTAGCTCATCCAAGAAAATATCATGCTTCGATAAACAACAATATCTCAGCCAAAACAGCTTCAATTGAAGTGCGAAGAACACGAATAGAAAGTTAACGCTTCGTAGCTCTTTCTCAAAGATATAAAGACTCTTCACCACTTAGATTGGAAGCAACACAATGCAGCGCAGACACCAGCTCAGCCCGGACGAGAAAACCCTAGTCTGCAACGTTTATGATTACTTCGTCGCTGAGGCGAAAGCAGGCAGAAGTGGAGGGCGGGACTCACGCCAACGAACTAAGGAGGTGACGCACTTTGGGAAGAATACAATCTTTCGAGTGCTGCGGGCCAGGAACTTCAATCCAGACACCGATTTCGTCGAGGTGCGGTTGCCATTTTGGTCCATGTAGGGTTATAGCTATTCAATTGTGATATCATATGGTAATCGTATAAATTAATTATTCACTAGTAGACAGCTCCATCGACACGAGGTCGCAAGAAACTATACAATGAGAGTGACCTTAGCATTATCGTTCGCGAGTTTGTAACTATGCAAAATAAAGCAGCCAAGCCGGTGACAGCTCAGCTTATCTGCGACCATGTCGAAAGTGTCCTTGACAAGCGAAACAACGCGCGCACAATGCGAGTTTGGCTAAACGACATGGATTTGCGAGTAAGCTCTCTTTAATTTATACAAATCTCAGTTCTTCAATCTGATCCTTCTATCACGAACATTTGTACTTACATGTGTTTTGCACTTTCCACACGATTTAACCATTAGGACCGCCGCAAATTAGCAACTGTTTCTCCGTTTAAATGCCCTCCGAGACAACTTTTTGCGGCGCTTATAGCGTCAAAACTACTGCGAATTCACTATTTTTAACACCAGAATCTGATAAAGGTCACGGATCTTGGAGGACGTAGGGCTTGTAGGAAGCGAAGGGAGGAGTCACCACTGGGGGAAGAAGACCGGAGCGAAGACCACTTGAGGGGAAGAAGGAAGATT